GAGAGGCACAGCAAAGTGCTGCCTCATCGCGCATCTCCTCCATGTATTTGAACGGGACATACGGAAATTCTGCTATTCTTTATTGGAAAAAATTCCTTTAACATCGGATTCGAATGGCAAAAGGGCCTACAACACACACCAGCCGACAAATATTAACATTTATTATATTTTATGGTTAACTTTTCTTTTTCCTTTTCAAGATTGACAGGGGAGGCTCTGCCTCACCTGCCTCCCCTGACTGCACGTCACTGTTATATACAGAGTTGAGTGTAGATACAACCACTGTTCCTACTATTATAGTTTCAGTCAGCAGGCACTGAGGCCACAGTCTGGCTCTGCTGACAGATTATGAGGATGATGGTACCATAACTGTAACTCCTCCTATCTAACCTTTATAATTGGTACATAAACATATAATAAATACTTTATAACAGACTGTAACATAGTTATAAGCAGATAAAAGGCCTTTAAATGTTAATGCTCTGTTTTTATTCTAACTTCTCCTATGATGACTTCTACAACAGCCTCCACTTCTAGGTCTGCTGGTTATACTGGATATACACTCACTGGCCGCTTTATTAGGTACACCTGTACAACTGTATTTACTTCTGTGCAACACTTCCACCTAAATATCTGTTTTTATGAAGCTAACATGTTTCAGTTTATGGTGAAATTGTCATAAATGTATAAATTCAATTCTATGTTCATTACTGAGGTCATGGTTAGAGGTGGTGTTGTGCTGGACTACATTATATTCACAGGTGTCTCTATAGTTTTGTCCTCCTCGTGAGATGCATGAGAGGGTTTGTGTTGCTTTTCGCACCATGTGGGAGCGATTATGTGTGTGCTGGGATGGGCGGAGGCGGCGCCGGTACTCACAGGTTATCAGATGCAGAGCGCTGCAGACGAGCAGCGCCAGCACAGGAATACCAGCGAGGGGCGAGGCAGAGTTGTTGTCGTCAGTGGAGCAGGAGGGGGCTGCTGTCTGCTTTGGAACCTTAGGAGTTTCAGGTTCCGTTTTACACTTGTGGCTGTAAACACAGACAAAGAACAACGTGTCAGTCAGTGAAGAGGAGAGATTGTCCAGTCACAACTGTCAACTGTCCAAGGCTGAAAATGCTGCGACACTGGCTCATCAGGGTATCTTCAGGTATTAACATCAGTTTCCCCCGCAAACACCGTTCCAGACCCTGAGAACAGCCGTCACTTTGTACAGTGTCTGTAGTAAGAGTCACATGTATCTGCTCTGTCATGCTGCTCTACCAGCTCCTCACTGCACAAAGCAGCGTGCTGGAAACAGATGGCCTCCCATGTTCCCTGAGGAGGAGACCTGCCCCCCCAGTGCGGCGGTGTGGCTCACTGGTGGACAACAGTGGAGGTCTACAGCACAGAGCGATGAGCTGAACCAGGGTCTGGACTCACACAACACAGTGAGGACATCACGCTCACGGCGCTGCTGGTCTCTGGACGGGGTTGGTGATGAATAACTATCGCTGCTTTTATTCGTTAAAAACTGGTTTTTATCCAGTGTTTAGGCGTAACGTTTTCTTGAGCAGTTGAATCTAAACCCAGTCTCAGTAACTTGTTGACACCGTGCAGCTTGTTGTGTGAAATGATTTTCAGATTAAATCCACACACTTGGATGGAGGTGTTGTCAGTGCAGGTGTGTTCATCGTCGTCACTTACAGCTGTTTCTGCAGGTACTGCTGGTTGGACTCGCAGGCTCTGGTCTGACTCTTAGCCGCCTGCATTTGACTCTGAGCCGCATCCTTCAGACTGAAGCAGGACTCGGTCTTATGGAAGGCCTGGGTCAGGTTCTGCTGCAGCTCCTCAATGTGGTCTGGAAATACAACACACAGTACAGAGGATCTGAGGATCCAGAGCAGCCTGACTGTCAGTCACTGTGGTTTTATCTGAACAGATCCTCAGGGTTTAGCCCTGTGGGTCCCTTGATTTCTTGTTCTTGTGCATACAGACAACAGTGCACATCCCTGCCCATGGATTCACATACAGTTTAGACAGAGTTAACCTTACTTGTGTTGTTTGTTTTAATGTTCAACATCAACCTGCCTGAGGTTGCAGATGAACTTTAAGTAAATGAAACAAAATGAGCAATGCAGTACTACAAGCTGGTATGCATGGATGTAAACAGTATAGGAATTAAAATTTAGGGACAAAGTATTTTGCAAATGTTTTATGAGGAAGAAAATGTGTTAGGCCTCAGTCATACCCACACTGACTCTTCTCATGGAGCTTTAAGGTGTGTTTTCAGTCATTTAATTTTGCTTCCACGCCGCTATTTTTAGGTTGTCCGTCCATCTGTCCGGCCCATTCTCCTGAACGTAGTATCTCAGGAGTGCCTTGAGGGAATTTCTTCAAATATGACACAAGTGTCGACTTAGACTGATTAGAATTTGATGGCCAAAGGTCACTGTACTCACATCTGTCCCATGCCTGGGAATTTGACTGTTTGGTGGAGGCCAAGTAATAATTCTGTTTTTTTTTTATTACATATTGTTTTAATCTACTATTTAAATGTACTTTGACAACACAGGGTGCAGGAGCTGGAATAACAACAGGGGGGCTGTATGTAGGCAGCAGAGGGTCATGGAGGTCACTGTACTCACATCTGTCCCATGCCTGGGAATTTGACTGTTTGGTGGAGGCCAAGTAATAATTCTGTTTTTTTTTTTATTACATATTGTTTTAATCTACTATTTAAATGTACTTTGACAACACAGGGTGCAGGAGCTGGAATAACAACAGGGGGGCTGTATGTAGGCAGCAGAGGGTCATGGAGGGGTGTGCAGCTGAGAGACACCGCATCCTCTCCACTGTCACTGGGGTTATCAGACACAGTGGGAAATCTGAGTTAATGCTGCTTTTAAATATATGTTTAATTAATGATCAGGTCCAGTTTAACTGATGCTGTGTTTTAATACATCTTTTCCCAAAGTTCATTTGGAGATGATGTGTTGAGTAGCTGCTCTAAAAGAAAAAATGACTAAAGGGCCAACAACAAGGGTTTGACACATAATTCAAATGAGGCAGCTAAATCATGCAATCACTGACTTACATTTAAAAAATTAAAGAGTTGTCTTTAGCTAAAACCATTGTCCATGATACCACACCCTGCACAGAAATGAACAGAGCATAATCCAGTAAAATAGAGCAGAAAATGAACAGAGTTTGGTAAGCATCTGATGCTGTGTTAACTTATAAGGCAACATTCAGGCATTTAACAGAGAGGAGTCACTGTTAGCTATGCCAGGAATGAGCTCAGCGGCCTGATGTTTTCACTACTTTAGCTCAATTATGTGCTGATTCTGGAGCAGATTCAGAATCGCTGCATCTGATCCAGTTACTGGGTGCAGACCTGAGTCCTGCACTCAAATTTTTATTAAAACAAGCAAAGAAATCTGCACCATTGATGCCAAATTATTTCACCTGTTCCCAAGCTGGAGTAGCTTTTTTTAATCTTCTGCTGCTACGACCAACTGTCATGTGCAGTGGTGGAAAGTGACTACAGTATGTTCACTTGCTCCAGTACTGCATAAATGTACTAATTTGAGGAGGTTGAACTTTACTTGAGTGTTTCTATTTTATGCAGCTTTCTACTTGCACTCCTGTACATCACAACGGCAGATATAGTACTGTACTTGAGTTACTTCTCCAAGGACACTTCATCCTCTTCCTGTACAGCGAAAACCATCTTATCATGCACTTTGATTAAACTCCCTACCCTTGAACAATTTAAAATTAGTCACACAAACTTATGATTATAAAAGTTATATTCTGAATTAAAACATTTAATTGTGACTTTTTTGTATAACGTCAACTAACTAGCTTCCATGCTAACATAATTTAGTTAATTCAGTATGTGTTACCTACTGTACGTTAGCAGTTAGTAGTAAAACATTCTGCTCTCTCTGCTGTGACCATTCACAGGAATTAGCAGAGTTCTAGCCTACGCTGTGTATTCTTAGTGGAGGCACAGAGACATGTCCAGTCAGCTGTTTGATTAGCTTGGCGATGCTGCCAATGATTGATTATTGCCAGTGGTGTATATATATATATACGCATTGGTGTAACCCCAGCTAAATGCAGAACCTCTTTGTGAAAATAACTTAACCACACACTACTTACCCCAAATTTGCTGACCTGCCCTAGTAGAGGGTGTCTGGAGGACACCCTAAGGCCACTGTTCTTCCACTATTTGTAATTCCCTATTGCTAAACCAGCTCATGATTTAATGTAGGTATTATGGATATTGTTGTAATTCCTCCTGTCTTTTATTACACATTATGTGTTATTGTTCTGTTCCACAGATGCTGTTGTAAACCATCATCCAGGGGCCAAAATATCAGATGTAAGTGTAGCACCATTCTAACTCGTCTAGTTGGTGCCCCTCCTAGGTAGAGTGAGAAGGGTGCTACATAAGAAAAACAATCAACACAAGAATCTGTGAGTTAAGGCACCAAGTAAAGCAAAAAAATAAGATGGACTGTTAAATAAGATAATGGACTGGATATTTGGACCCTTTATATCATTTTTCCCCTTGTTCTGGACCTTGTTTAAATGATCGGCTTGTTTAAAGCTATGTACCTTTGATACATAATATAGTATCTCCATATATTATGAAGTGTATTATGGAATACATAACATCACGATATATAAATATATTTTTCAATATATGAAAAGCCGCAATTCCTCACGTATTATTCAATATACTGTAAAATATTAATGCATCATATTATTCAGCATATTCTGCAAGCTATTTTTCAATATATGAAAAGCCATAATTCCTTATTGTATTATTCAATATACTGTCATATATTAATGCAGCATATTTTGCAATATATTTTTCAATATATGAAAAGCGGCAATAAGTTACATATTATTCAATATATTGTAATATATTAATGCAATATATATTTTAGACACACAAAATAACCCGACATATATTCACACGTAATATATTTGGACATATATTTTTTTTCCGTAAGGGTTGATTGACAGGTTATTCCTGTTGCCAGCTTATGTTTTGTTTTGAGGTCAAGTCACCACCCTCAGCGCTATGCACAAGCCTTCCTGTGGTCAGGAAGATGCACTGAAATAGTCTCACTCTGACAATTTTAGGACTCAGAGTCAGACAAACATGTGCAGCAGTTGCCTGGCTGTGTTGCGATCTGAAATACAGCCCGACGTGATCACTTCCAGGGCTCGATGTTTAATGGGCAGCTCCCTGTTAATACAATGCTGCTCTCATATCTCCTTCACACAGGAACGCAGGCTTTCCTCCCAACCGTTCACAGCAGGAAGTCACCTTCATTAAAGTCCGCCTGCACTTCCCATCTGCTTGTGGACTCACTAATTGCAGGAAAATACACTTTTCCATTAACACATGGGGCTTAGTCACCAGAGTGTGGAAGACAAACAACCCCAAAGTCAAAAACAGGTGACTTAGTCTGAATTCAGCTGCTCTTTTTAAGCAAATTATTCATCTACATGACCTGATGTGGATGCTTTTACAGTGCACAGGCTATAAACCAAGGATGTTCTCAGTCCAACCGCTGTCTACTATTCTGACCTAAGCATCGGTTTTTAAGACAAACTGTGTCTTGATTAGCCTACATCAGGAAGGCACTACATCACATGACGACCGATCCAAAAACTAATACAACATGTTTGACACTGTGAAAGATATTCTGTGCTGCCCTGCAACTATTTTTTTAAGCATTGCCCTGCCTGCCCTGTTCACCTAGTGCCGAACAGCAGTGAGAGAGAAATAAATCACTTTGTGGTTATTAGTTAGTGCAGTTTAGCGAGAAAAAGGGAGCGCTTGGTTTGATGCTAGGGATTTCCCTGCTAATGCAATCATGGGAGAATCATTGTCATGTGAGACTGAGATCGCACAGGGATCTGAGTCATGCTCACAAATCGATTAATCATGCAGCCCTAGGGAGAAAAAGTAATAACTACAAAGGCTGATTTATTATTTAGCCTAGTTTTATTGATATAACTGGGGTGAACAAAACACCAGAACCAGCTCTCAGTGTAACACAGTCCAGTTAAACAGCAACACAAACTGCAGCCTCCACATCATCACCTTCATGAAGGAGGATTTACTGTTAGATCAGACTGACTGGCTTAGTGAACTGGCCACTGGGTGTATATTCTGGACAAAC